CCCTCATCAGTTAGGTCTCAGCCCAATGCCTTCTTTGGAGAGGGTTCTCTGACCCTGATTAAAGATGCCACCCACCAGTCACTACCACTGCGGAGTCCCTGGCCCCTGGAAGCACCTGGCATATAGCAGGTGGTCAATCAACATCTGTTAATGAATAACTAGTTTAAGGTAAGACAATTATGTCCCAGCAGGATCCTAGAACTTATCTGTCTGCTATTTGAGCCATGTGTATTGGAGACAACATAAGTGATGGCTTCAAGATTTATTTTATTATTATTATTATTATTTATTTGTCAGAGAGAGAGCGCGCACAAGCAGAGGGAGCAGCAGGCTCCCCGCTGAGCAAGGAGCCTGATGCTGGACTCAATCCCAGGACCCTGAGATCATGACCCGAGCTGAAGGCAGATGCTTCCCCCACTGAGCCACCCAGGCGTCCTGGCTTCAAGATTTAGACTAAGATTTATTGTTTCTGATTCTTGCTTTGTCAATGCATGTGAATATCTTCAAGGAACATGCAACTTTGTCCCCTATAGAACCCTATTTTGCTCCTGTTAATTCATGTGAAGATGACCTTGTTGCACATTACCAGTTGCCTACAACTTCCACTCTATCCCTACTTCCTTCATAATAGAACCCTTTAAGGCAATGTGTCCAGTTCAAAAACACACACACTCCTCTCCCCAGGCTTTCTTACAGCGACAGCAGGTAGCCATGTAATCCAGCTCTGGCAATGGAGTGACATGAGTCAAGTGAGGCTTCAGGAAAGCTATCTTCTTGATTAAAAGGTAGACTCAGCTATGTGTCTTTGCCCTTTGACCTACTCTTGTCCCTGCCTGGAACGTAGCCATGATGCTGAAGGTGCAGTTGTCTCAAGTGGCAGGTGTGATCAGCGTTCCGCCCGTGACCCCCGACATTCACCATTCCTGTATTCAACACAGGCTTCCCTCCTGAAAGCTCCTGTGACTCAGAGAGCTTTGCTGGTTATAGAACCAGGCTAGCCTATGTGTGGCAGGTTGAAAGTGCCAGAGTTAGTGAACTTGGGGGCAGCCCTCAATGACAGGTGGGAGTTGGTGCATGAACATCTGAGTTCCTTGGCCTTCAGGTGAGACCTTTGAGGCATGAGCTACGTATACTGGGAGCAGACAGAGCTCCCTGAGGTCCCCAGTGGGACTGAACAGCAGTTGCCCAAAGCAGTAAGCCCTTCATTAATGCGCCCTGGATTTGGCTTCCTTTTCCCTGTCTCACTTCCCTACTCGCCTTTCTTCTTGGGATCACCTTTCAAATAAACTACTTACCGATGAATCCTTGTCTCAGGCACTCCTGGAGGAACCCAATCTAGGACATTTTGTGACCATGTGGATGAAAGCCACATCCTATGGGTGGAGAGGAATCTAGAAGCAGCTGGAGTTCTTGATGCTGGACTTGAGCCCTGCACCAGCCTGGGACTGGCTTTCTTTGGACTTCTTGTTATTTGAGAAAAATAAAGGTCTTATTTGGGTAAGCCACCACAACTGGTTTTCTATGGCATGCAGCCAAGTGCAACTGTAGTATTTAGGTGATGAGTTGTAGGGTTACCTGTTCCGTTTGCCTGTCTCTTGAGTCCTGTGCTTTTCCATCATCACCCTTCACTCCCATGGGACTGCAGGCATTTGCTTGTACCACAGGTACCCCTCCCACATGCCAAATCTCATCAGACTTTATACACTAATTGTGTTTTCCAAAACATGTGCTAAATCCTCTTTAGGCCTTTGCCAGGAATGCTTTACCTCAGAAGTGAAAAACTGCTGTACTTGGGTCTGCTAACTGCAACCTCATGGTAACTGTGGGCAAGACATCCATCTTAGTATGGCCCATAGCACCAAAAACATAGATGCTTATTAAATATTTGTAAAAGTAAAATGCGTAGCTATGGAAGAATCCAAGTTGAATCAAATTTACTCCTGTTTAAAATCGTTGACATCAAATTCCATCACACATAAAAATGAATATATACTCAATAAAAGATTTCAGACAAATGAAATATAGTCAATTGAACATTTAATAAATATATTCAAGCATCACTTTTTTTTAAAAAGGACAAAATCATAATGTAAGTATTCATTAAAATGGTGACCATTTAAACGTCATCTGAATCATACAAATAACACTTTTATGAAATGTGTTGAGAACCTAGGGGTTTATGTATAAAGCTGAGCATTTTCCAAATTCCCTGCGTAGATGAGACAAGATTGTGTTCTCTTACTGGTGGCTCAGGAGCTAGGATCTACTTGTGTTCTAAGTGCTGGTGTGCGGAGACAAGGCTGGCACCCACGGCCGGCTGTGCTCTGGCCACTCTGGGACCTGCGAGACAGAGTCTGATCTAGGGTGAAACTACGTGCAGGGTGTGGAGAGGAATGCACCAAGGGCTTCACTGAGGCTGGAGGACCAAACAGAAAGCAGCGTGCTTTGACTTCAAAATGCATGTTAAGTGAGGCAAAGAAGCCAAGAACCTTCTCACAACTGTTTCAGATCAGCAACTCCTAATGTATTTGTATCAGGGTAGTTGGGAGAACTACAAATGCTCACTGGTCCTGAATCAAAAATTTAACTATCAGAACAGATGCAACTTTGAGGATAGGCTTATCAAACTACCTAAAACTCAAGTTGGGTATCAGTTCAAAAGATGCCTGTCCTGGTTTCAGCTGGCAAGGAATCTATAAAATGTTTACATATCTATTTTTGGTAAATTTATTTCACAAAGCCACCATTTTATTTCATAAGGACAATAAGGTTCATTAAGTCACAATACAAAATTTATAAATGAGATGACAGGACTTCTTAAACACATTTGCTGAGTAAAGGCATTTTTACTAACTATAAAATCCAGTGAAACTTTAAAAGATTAAATACACCACAGTTATTGTCAAAAGACTGTTTGACTGTAGTTTAAGTTCAAAAGGTTAAGGATTTTACAAAAACACAACATGAGACTATTAATTATATATGAAGAGTATTTGGTTAGATACAGAAAATAATAATATGTGGTTTTCTTCCTCTAGGAAACTAGCTTTAGAAAATAACACCAACTCCAATTAAATTTTGACTATGTAATTCTTTAATCACCGGCACCGTAATCTGGAATCTTCAAAGTAATCCAGCTAATTGGGCCGCCAAATTAAGTCACCATTGTTTCTAAAGGTGACACACTAGAGTAGCCTACACTTATACAGTATTGTGTAAACTTACAGTTTTTTCATTAGTTCTTGTATTTTTTCCAAAGTCCCATTTCCCAGGACTCTGACCGTTAAATAGGTCTACCTTAAGTTTCCAAACACTCATGTCCATTGTGAGAACATGCGGGATAAATCCATTTTCTCTAATGTGAGAAGCTACATTATTCTAAGAAATGACCCTAAACTCACTACACTGGGACCAGGTTGGAGGTACTACCTAAAGATCTGAGGGATGGTCAGGAAACGGACCTCAGACAAGGGAGTTTTAGCATTTTTAATTTTTCAAGAGAAACAGCCTGGGAAGGGAAAAAGTGTTCTATAATCTAGGGTATGGTGAAGAGCCCTTGCTCTCATAGCCAACTGTATGAAAACATTATTCCTTAAAGACATGCAGGTCCATGAGCCGAGGCAAGCTTTGGTTAAATGATGGGTAGCTTTTGTTTGGCTCTGGAGGTTGCCATGGAAACAGCCTGAGAGACAGAAAAGGCAGCATTATCCTCTTTATCCATAATGCCATCTGATAAGACTGCACACCGATTCATTCATGCAATCCAGAAGAGACGTATTACTTGTGATAAGTCCGGACAAAGGGAGGTGTGAGCTCTATCTGGTTATGCGTTCCATTTCCTTGCCTTTCTCCATTTGAAACCTTAAATTAAAATCCTGGTAAAGCCTCTTCTGATCATTTCCCTCAGGAGCCTCTAGTTCAAGTAATGCTTCACTAATCAGAAGCCAAATGAAGAAACATGAAGCACCAAATGGAGCTCAACTGCCAAGTTCTTAAAAATCGTATGACACCAAGCTTCCTGTAGCTGAAGAAATTATTCTGAAGAGTATTTACAGTTCTGTATCAGGCCTCAGCCAGGCAAGAAATACTGTCTCAAGTGTTCATTGTACACAGCTGAATCAGGTGGCATCATCCATAATTTCTCTCCCTCTTTGTCTCTAGATCATTTGTGTGTGTAAGTATCTATGTACTGGTACCTGTCTCTGTGCCTATGTATTTAATATATTTGTATATACCACACACTATTATCTAATCTTATTTCAGGTTAGTGCTTCTAAGGAAGACCAAAAAAGCAGCCCTAGCTCAGCATTCTATATCTGAAGTACACAAAAATAAAAACCTCAACAAAATATAAACAAAATAAACCGGATAAGGAGGCATGCAGCCTTTAGCACCATATTAACAATCAAGGAGGGCAAGAGTGTTGACAGAAATCTAAAGACCAACCCAGTTTTGAGTTTCCCCTGGAACGGGATCCCAAACACAGAACCCTCTTACAGAGTCCAGGACTTTCAAAAAGGGAAAGCCTGAGAAATTCTATTAACAGAAATGTCAAAAATCCATGATTTGCCAGAGAGAGATGATTTGACATTGTTTCTTATTCTAGAAGCACTGAAGACATTATTCCTTAAGAACAAATTGCTCACTTTTGGAGATCAGTTGGGAAATCACTGCCAGCTCAATGAACTAAATGATACTCCAGTAAGTTAAAAAGACATGATCTATCCCCCAAAAGGACCAATTTACTCACGGAAAGTATTTTATTAATGAGCAGTTAGCTCCCTGATATCTGTATAACAGTACAGACATTGGCTACACCAAAGAGACCCAAGCTAGCACATATAATTGCACATTCCACATGGCAAAACATCTGAAAAACACCCATACCTCTATGCACTATGGCATTGGTATGGGAATCTAAATCACAAAATAAAGTTTCAGCTTTATCCTTTCCATAAAAAGGGACTTAAAAGTCTAGGGAAGGGTTTACTTCAAGATGTGCTAATGATTCTGGTGGTTTAAAAGGGACAGGTAAGTTAGAGGGCTAGAAATGACTTTAGATATCATCTAATGCAAATCCCCCATTTTACCGGTGGGAAAACTGAGGCCTCACGGTGTCAGCCCTAACCATTGGAAGAACCACGACCAGAAGAGAAGCCATGGAACTCTTAGTGTGGTACTTTGTCCATTATGCTTACCTCTCAAACTCCTTTAAATCTTAACATGTGTCATTTAATCAAGCTGAGAAATATCAGGTATGAAAAACACTGAATTTTTACAAAGATTTTGGCAATAATTCACATTCTGATGTGCTTAATATTAACAAGGGGGAAACCCCCAGTTATCTTTTGGTAAAAATGTTATTTCCTGCATGAAACAGGTTCCTTTTGTGAGAGCTTTTTTTTTTTTTAGGTACCGGCATAGCTCACAACTGACGGCTTTCCAATGTCCCATCTTTGGAGTAAGAGTTTGATTCGGCAGATCCAATATCATCAGGTGGGCTAAAATGACTGCTGTCTTGAGAATCTGTATCAATACTTTTGGTTTCTGACTGAAGGTGGACAGAAACCTGAACTGCTATCTCCTGGCCTTGTTCATTCAGAGAACCATCATCCGAATCTCCTCCTGGTGAATTACTCCGGCCCATCTCTGGGTTAATGACATAGATGCCACCTTGACCATTCAGGGCTGGTCTCTCTTTAATTCTTTCTCCCATGTCATCAGGGTCGTCCACTCGCACAGCCTCAAACATCTCCTCAACAAAGGCTCGACAGTTTAGAATAAGGGGCGGAAGAGGGACGCTTCTTGCCAATTCTTCAATATAACGAGCAAACTCCATGGTCTTAAATTGTGTGACTTTGGCGAGCTCCAGAGTCTTGGCTGAGGTGATGATGGGGATGCGCTTTGCAATCTCAAAGGCCTTCTGAAGTTTCTCAGCCCCTTCAGTTCTGAAGAATTCATTGATAGCCTTCTCAGTCTTACGAAGATGGCTGCTCATCATGCACAGCCGTGTGACATTCAAGATGAGGGTGATTGTAAAGGCAATCAGGCAAACAATCATGTAGTAGACACTCATGTCTCCTGAGGTGAAGATAACACGCAGGGTGACAGAGTAGGAGGCATGAACTGGAGAGCTGACGAAACATGTATAGAGCCCTCGGTCATCAAAGACTACACTGGTGATATTCAGGAAGTTATCAGAAACCAACCATTTTCCACCTGATAACCCAACAGAAATAAAAAAAATAGAGCATAAAGAATATTATTACTGAATAAGCCAACTGCCTTACCATAAATATGCCACCTCTTCATGATGGAGTGCTTTACCTCATCTCTTAGGTTCTGCTTCTTGTTTAAATCATGTAAGAAAGGACTTTTATGTCCAGAGTAGGAATTTAAACAGCCTGGAAGTTAAAAAGGGAATCAAGATCTTCCTTCCTGACGTGAATGATTACCATAGCTACATTTCGAGGCTAGATATAACAAGCCTTTCAGGGAGACAGGTATGACTATATAATGCTAAGTGACCAATCTTAAAAAAGGAAAAAAAGAAGTGTGTGTGTGTGTGTGTGTACACACCACAATCTCTAACCTATACATTTTCATACACTAGAAGGAAATGCCTCAGAAATACCAAACAATGGTTATTTCTGGGGTAATGGGTTGAGTGATTTACATTTTCTTCTTTTTATATAACTGTATTTATTTACTTTTGATAACAAGAGACAAGTTAAAAAAAAACAAACAACCCACCCCACCAATTTAGTGCATTGTTCAACTACTAACTGGTTAATCTGGCATGGCTTGCACACTTAATTTGTTTTGTTAGAAAAGATTTATTGATGATATCTCGATTTTCTGGCAAGAGTAACTGAAGCACAAGCCAAAAGATATGTGTCACAAGTCAGGGTAAACAAACTGCTTGGTAAAGAGAATAAAGTTGCCCTTAAGATGCCTAAAGGATCTTTGGGTTCTGTTTTAAACCTAAGCCACGCTGCCTGTCTTCCGTATACGAAGGTATCTTCATTCAGGGAACACGTACACAAAAGTATCTAAGAGTATGAAAAGAAAAGCCTACGGACTATCCACCTTGATTCAACACCCTTTAGTAACTTGGCTTTGCCCACACAATTCTGTTTGTGGTCAATTCTCAGTCTATCCTGTACTTTAACTACAAAAGCCATTCAAAGATGGGATGGACGGGCTAACCGGGGTGTAGGTGTGAGTCCCAATGATTAGAGGCACTGTCCTGGAGGAGGCTGGGGTACTGCTTGTTAAGCACCACCTGAGTGCCTTAAGATCCTGAAGTTAAGAGATCTTCAAGGTCTCTTTCATCCCTGAGATTCTATAGTTCTGGATTATTTTAGTGGTACATCAATTGCTTACATCAAGTGCTTACTAGCACTCTGGATTATGCCCATTTTATCGTCATCAAAATTTATCTAAATGCTATAGTTATATTTAAAAGACATCACTTCACTAATGTAAAAAAAAAAAAAAGAGGAAACTATATAGCTATGGAATATATTTATTATTCCACAAGCTTCTGTTCTATGAATCTGGAGCTATGAAAAGGCTATCCTATGAACCCAAAGTATGGTGAAGTACATACACTTCATTCATCAACCACTGTACTACGACCACAATGTAAACTCTCTAGCTTACTTGCTGATAATAGCTCAAGATTTACGAACCTTACGCTAAACTGACAGGCTCTTTAAACTCCTCTCACTGGAGATTCATAAAATTTAATACAATTTTCCAGAGCTGCTACTGAAAGCATCAATGATAGATGTTAGTGGTTTTCAAAGTGAAAGCAAAAAGGAAAATGAAACCGCCATTCCACTTGGTTGGTCCCATCCTAACCTAAGCTTTGTTGATGCGGTCAGTCTGTACGATCACACCAACTGAATAATTCAGCTCTCAGATGTGTCTGGTTAGGATCCTAGAGCCCAAAGGAAATAGGAGTCTAGATCATTGCATCCAAATGTGAAACCCTAAATCATGTTCAAAATATACATTCTGGGCACTACTCTAGAGATCCTGACTCAAAAGATCTACATTCTTAAGAAGATGACTAAAAATATTCTGTTCTTTCTAACAGTTTAAACTCTTCAATCTCCTGGTGGCCAGTTAACTCAGTTTTACAAAGTTAAAATGTTTCACGTATACTTTAGAAGAAAACACCATCTGTCTCCTTTTCTGTTTTCCATTCTAATATGAATAACCAAATATCTTTTCTATTCCAAGAGGTTAGACTATCTTTCTAGCAAAAAAGACAAGAAGGAACTTTTCTGAAAGTGTAGCTTATGAGTATCCCAGCATTTAATCTTTATCCCATTGATTTTTCATGGTGATTTCTTTTTGAGGTACTTTAATACAAGTAGTCTTCAAAAAGATCTTTCTGGCAGAATACTAGTTAGGGAAATAATATTCTGATTAAGATGTGTTCACAGGTTCACAAACAGCAAAATCAAATAAAAAACTGTCGAAAAGGGGATTTTGGTTGCATTATTATGTCTGGGTGATTTTTAAGACTGAGAGGCAAAGGTACAAGAGAAGCTCTCCTGTTTTCAAGTAAATTAAGGTATAGCATAGAAAAAAATTGAACTGGAAGGGCTTATAGAGCTCTTTCTCAGTGCCCTTCTAATTCTCAGAGGGACTTAAAAGTTTTATGCACAGAGCTATAATCTTTTAAAAACCATCCTGGATTTCCTCTAAAATTTTTAGTGACTCATTTCCAAACAAAATTTTTAAATTTAAGGGGCGCCTGGGTGGCTCAGTCATTGAGCATCTGCCTTCGGCTCAGGTCATGATCCCAGGGTCCTGGACTCGAGTCCCACATCAGGCTCCCTGCTCGGCGGGAAGCCTGCTTCTCCCTCTCCCACTCGCCCTGCTTGTGTTCCCTCTCTCGCTGTCTCTCTGTTAAAAAATAAATTAAAAAATCTTTAAAAAAATTTTTTTTAATTTATGACAAATTTACGTATGTCTAGCCACAACCCTTCCTCCTGCATTTACAAAGGGCCATCACGCTGTATTATTCATATTATAGTCTAGGTGAATGGGGCTAGCTGTCTGCAGCAGCCCTGATGTCATCTACCTTCAGTGAAGAAGGAAACCAGCTCACCAACAGAAGAGACGATCGCTCCCTGTCATCATGTGAACATCTTTTAAATTTATAACTACTCTTTCTTTCTTTCTTCTTCTGGTTAAGTAATTGTAACTATTTTGCTTTTTCTCATAGCTCTAACACTCCAGGCCTTTCAAAAGTTTTAATTATGGGATCTTCAAGATCACATGCATATGCCATCAAACCAAGGAGACAGAAGTAACAGGAAACGAGTGACCTTGATTAATTATACGCTGGTATAGTTACCTCTGCCTCTGCCATCCAGGTGCTGTCCTTTTGAGTTATACCAATGGACATCTTCATAGTGGTCGACTGTGAGAAGACACTTGAGTGAAACACTAGTTCCCTCTTTGGCTATGATGACATCATCCCCTGAGTGGGAACCTGAGAGCTCAAAGCTTGGAGGAAATGATGAATTGAAGGAACTACGATCTGTTCCCAGTGGGGCCATTTGGGTGAAGCCTACATCTTCCAAAACAAAAGCAGCTGGCACAGTAACACTCACCACTAAAGTGAACAGGCAACAATGTGGCTTCATGGAAAAACAGGAGGAAGTCTTGTTTAGATCTGGAGAACTCAAGAGCTTCTATGCTATAACAAGAGCACGGTGGGTAATTTATTGCTTGGTACTGGGAGTTTTCCAAAAAAGTGGGAGATTCAGGCGTATTTTGAAATCTTCAAGATTAAAAGATGTGTGTGGAGACCAACCTAAAAGAAAGCCAGATATAAAGTTTAACCAACAAAGACTCATAATGGGGTGAAACTCTTATGTTCTAGAAATGAACAGATGTGAAATTGATTGGAATAACTGGCGCTGTCATCAGGGAGCAAAACAGAAAGAACACCACCTAAAAATCTCACACAGAGACAGCAGAACGAGCACTGAATTAGGAAATGGCAGGCGGACCTAGATTCTGGTCCTGGCTGTGCTACTAACAAGCTGTTAAGACCTTGGCAAGTAGCATCCTCCCTTGGCTGTTTTTCTCATCTGTCAAATGAGAGACTAGATGAGACCTCTCTACAGAGTCTTCTAGTTCTGAAAGACTAGGATTCTATTTTACTCTGACAAATCTTATGCAACAGGGAACCAGTGAAGGCTAAAATATTTAGCTTAATGATCTTTTATTTCAACCTGCACCTGTAAATCAACTGATACATCATGATCATAACCATGAAGCTCAAAATTTGAGCAATCCAAGTACATAATATATTAGCTTTAAATAATGCAGGGATACCTAAGGCAGTTTTCTGTTTGTTTTAATATCAGAAAGAAAACTGCATTACTACATACACATAAACAGTTACTGACTCCTGAGAAGTTAGAACCTCCCTCTTGGGCATGAATGTTAGACAAAAGAATTTTCCTTTAACAGTTTTTTTAGTATCAAGAGACAAAATACAGTATATTTAACAGTTCATGAAAATACCAAATTTTAGCTCAAAGTCTACAAAACCAGCTCAGGGAGGAAGTGACATCTTCAACGTCTAGTTAGTAGAAATGCAAATATAAACTACAGGGAAAGAGTGCCGGACAAATAAAATACCACGAACAATGAACAAAATATCCCAGCCTAAGAGTGTGTGTGATTATGATCATCTTCCTGGTAATTTGATTCCTCTTTTAAATCATGACTCTCAAAGAAAAATTTCAACTTCCATTTCTATAAAAGACATGATGAAAAGCCTTGCTTTATTTCCTATAAAGGCCCAAAATAATTAGTTTTGGAAATGACTCTCCTTTGTACTTAGGCGAAGGCTGCTTGATCACAGAACATAAAAAGCAATGGATCATTGTATTCAGTCATTAAACCCCTCAAAGTCTGAATCACAGTAAGCTGTATATGTCATTTAATTTTCATTAGCCCTTGAAAGGATGGTTGAATGATAATAATTTTCTATATCTTGCTATATCTTTAAAATATAAGAATGGACTATTTAGAGTAAAACAAAAGACTTCAGACTTTGTTATACATAGTAGATTGAACACGTTTTTTTTTTTTTAAAGATTTTATTTATTTATTTGACATAGAGAGAGAGAGAGAGAGAGACAGAGTGAGCACAAGCAGGGGGAGTGGCAGGCAGAGGCAGAGGGAGAAGCAGGCTCCCCACAGAGAAGGGGGAGCCCGATGTGGGACTCGATCCCAGGACTCTGGGATCATGACCTGAGCCGAAGGCAGTCACTTAACCAACTGAGCCACCCAGGCGCCCCACATGTGTTTATTTCTATTTCTTCCCCAAACCCAATTAAAATGACACTACAGGAAACAAAGAAATTGGGCATTGGAGGGGATTTCAGAAATGATCTAACTCATTCACTTTACAGTGACTTGCTCCTTTAAATTAAACTTTATGTTAGTAGGAGAATCCTGGTCTCTACTGGGCAAGAGTGGTGAGTGAAAACAATGGAAAGAACAGTTAGTAAATAAATGACTGCCATAAGCCAGGCACCATGCTTGGAGCTTGACATGTGTAAGCTCCCAAGTTCTTTTTCAGTATAATATATATAATTGGTGGACAAAACTTTTCTCCTTTATTCTAGACTACTGCTTCCCAATCGTGAGAGGAAATGACTGTGCTGAAAAAGTGCTCTAGGCCTTCCCTAGGATTTCGATAATGAGTTCCTGTGGCTTATCCAAGTCAGCATTTTCCCAATTTTATTCAATTCTTCTATTGGCATGAGTTTTTTTTTTTTTTTGCTTTTTAAGTCAACTCATTATTTTACTTTCATACACTTATTTCAAAAGAAAAGTCTGTATTACATCTGTAAATAAAAGTAACCGTACACAGAAATACGATGAAAACAAAGCAGTTATTATTAACTGCTATCTGCTAAAGGCTCTGAGCTGGAGGCCCCTCTCTGTCAGGAAAACAAAAATAAAACAAATAAATCACCCACAACTCTACTTTATTCTAATACCACCTCATTTCTTATCCTGCCATCATCCTTTTCTTCCCTACCTATTCCATCGAGTCAGAGCCACAATTTTATTATTTCATTTCATTCCATTTTAGAGAGAGCACGCATGCAAGCAGGGGAGGGCAGAGGGACAGGGAGAGAGAATCTCAAGCAGGCCCCACATTCTCTCAAGCAGGCTCCACATTCAGCCTGAAGCTGGGCTCAATCTCACGACCCAGAGATCATGACCTGAGCTGAAATCAAGACTTGGATGCTTAACTGACTGAGCCCCACCCAGGAACCCCAGAACCACAATTTTAGACTAGAGGTATACAGTTTCATCTATTCACCTGTATCTACTGAGCACTTTCTATGTGCCAACCTATTGTATAAGGACACCGTCTCTGCCTTCATGCAGCTAAGTCTGGCAAAAGACACAGACACTAACTAAACATATGCAAAATACGGTAAATGCTGCCCGAGGTAAAGTACAGGATGCTATGGTAGTACCCAATGTGGGGAGCTAAATGTGTCACAGAGAGCCACCTTGAGAAAGTGAGGTGTGCAACAGTACTCGAGGGATAAATAGGAATTGAGAATGGAAGAGAAGTGTCGTAGTAAAGGGACAGAGGAAAAAGCAGAGGGATCACTGGTTAGGAGGTGTTCAGGAAAAAGAGCTACAAGTTGTGGTAATGAGAAGAGGTGGCCAGAGTGCTGGGTCTGATTCCTGATTCTGGAGGGGAGCAGTCTGGGCCAACAGCAAATCTGGAGGTGGACTTTGGGAACTGGAGTGGGAGGCCAAAGTGAGTGTAGGAGACAGCTGTCCCACAAGAAGAGGTCAAAGAATGTGGAGGGTCGAGAGTGGGATAGACCACCTGTAGGAAAGGGAATGTCCCCCCAGGATCAAGGCAGCTAGAGGAGAAGACCCTGGAAATAGGAAAAACAAAAACCAAAAAAAACCAGACTCTCCCTCCCTGCTGAGATGCAGGAGCTCTGGAAGAATAAACAGCCTCCACATGAGAGGGTTGTGGGGCAAGCGGGGTCCTGGCAGTGTAGCTGCTGTGTGGAGTTCCTTCATGCAGCTTCCCTGAGTCTCCTCTCAAGTCCTGGCTCTCCCTCCCATGTGGTCCAGAGTATATCTGGATGCAGGCTGGCTTTTCCCCGAGCTCCTGTAGCCGTCACCATTACACTACTCACTGGCTCTGGTATGTGCCTCTTTGTACTGCTAGGCAGTCCACCCCTCTGACCTAGGAGTTCCTGAAGCACAGGGACTATATTTTTTGTTGCTATACTTCAAAACTAGCCCATGTTCAATAAACATTTACTCATGGAAGTTAGTTTAAATTTGATAAAGCATGTGATATATCTTTGTAAACTGAGGAATGTTATGCAATAGGGACTGTAATTATTCGAACTGACATGCATTTACCACACTTATTATATTGAGACAGCCAATGCCAAAGATCTCCAGAGAACTTAAGAGGCATAATGCCTAAAGGCAGTCCTTGAGTCAACCCTAACTCCCAAAATCTTCATTCACCATGTCCTAGAATATCATAGTGGGGATAAAAAGATTACCAAGCCCAGGCTGACTACAAATACCCAGACAGATTCTTAAAAATACAGATTCCTGGGTCCCACCCTAGCCCTCGTGAAGAACCTCTGGACTTGGACTTTGGAATTTATGATATACAATTAGCTCCCTGGATGATTCTGAGGCCAGAGACTATGACTATAGTTCCTCATTTCCTTTACACCAGCACTGCAGACGGTTGGAACACTTCCAAGAAGAGAGAACTATCACTCCCATTCCATTCGGCCTTAGATACCCTGGATCAGCGGAACTGTAGGCCTCTGAGAAACGCAGGGTAGCAGAGAGGGCTGGAGTACAGTCTCGGGAGTCAGACTTCCTGGATTTGAATCTTGATGGGACTCTAACGAGCCTTGCAACTTTTGTAAATGACTTAATCTCCCTGTGCCTCAGTCCCCTCATCTTTAAAATAGGGAAATTAACAGTACCTGTTCTATAGGACTGTTGTGAGGCTTGAAGGAAATTGTATAAAACACAGGGCCTGGCAGTAGTAATCACTGAATAACCTCTAGTTATTATTGTTGATTGTTCTTTTAGATACTATGCTAAAATCTACATCTGATAATAAAACCATTATTTAAGATAAATGGAACACCTTTACTCAGAATACTATGCAACCATTTAAAAATCTTGGAGGGGAGGGGAAACACTATAATTTCAATCTGTAATTTTAAATTTCACATTTTCCTTTTGCTCGTTGTCAATAAGTAATAATATGGATCAAACAGGCATTGTAAACTGAACTTGGGAGTCCAACCATGATATGTTACATTGTTTTAGTGCATTCTGAATTTGTGGTAAATAATCTTTGTTGTGATGTGCCTAGCTTACCTTTCCCTTTTTTGAGATCTGCCTCTATGTTCTGGGGCCCAAGAAGTCAACCCTTTGGCCAACTAAACTAATCAGAAGCTTTGATCTTGGAATTTAGATTTGAGACATGGTGGGTTAGCGCCATTCGAGAAAGAGAAAGGGTTGAGGCAGTCAGGTTTGGGCCACATGCAAAGAGAAGAAGAGAGACAGGACCACAGGGATGGAGAAGAGAAAGAGAGTGGTGAAAAAGAAGAGAGGAGAGGGGAAGTGGAGCGGGGAGAGGGAAGGGAGCAGAGGGGAAGAGAAAGAGACTCACTCAGGTGTTGCTCTGGCTCCTGACAGAATTCTACTTCCTCCTTCCAGTATGACTTTTTTTTTTCAAAGAAATAAACATCTTTATACAATTTCATTC